ATAAGTCCCTTGCCAGATATGTAATTATTGGCAAATGTGAACTTGTTGCTGTCATTTTTTGTTATGTGCTTTTTTGTGGTGTCAATGTCTTTGTTCCATATAATTTTTTATGCTGAGATCATTTTGTTTCTGAATCATGTTATCACTTCCTTTATTGCTATTGTTTTAGTATTTGCTAAATATTTTTGCTGGTCCTCTTTTTTATTTTGATATGAACGTTTATCATTTTTCTCTGAGGTTACCCTGTGATTTATAATTTTCTTCCCAAGTTTAGAACAGTCCATTCTATCTTATAGTTGTCTTGACTTCCTATCATCTAGAAGTTCTGTAACGACACAGTTTTTTCTCTCTTTTTGGCTTGTAGTTGTCCTCATTTGTCAGTTGATGTCACTGATTCGCTGTTCACAATCTTGTAGGCTTACCTTGGATACTTCCATAGCAGGGTTGGTTTCTAGGGTATATCATCATGTGTGTTAATGGTCAGTTGTTGTTGACTGTTGTTGCTTCTCTGTCCAAAGGCCATGCTCTAGCATCTCTTGTAAGGTTGGTCTGGTTTTAACAAATTCCCTTAATTTCTGCTTATCTGGAAAGGTCCTAATTTCACCATCATATTTGAGGGACAGTTTTGCTGGGTCCATAATTCTTGGTTGGAAATTTTTCTCTTTTAGGGTTTTATATATGCCATCCCATTGTCTTCTCACCTGCACGGTTTCTGTTGAGAAATCCGAACTTAGTCTTATTGTTTACCCCTTGTAGGTAACTTTTTGTTTTTCCCGTGCTGCTTTCATGAGTCTTTCTTTTGTCTTTGGTTTTGGTGAGTTTGATGATGATATGTCTGGGTGATTTTCTTTTGGGGTTGCAAAAAGGGCAAGGAGGCCACATGTTCTGACCTCCTCTAACCCTACAAGGGGAAGGCAGGATTACCAGCAGTAATCCAAGGCCTATTACTGCAAGGCCAGACATGCTGCCTCCCTCCAGCCCTTTCACCAACCGTTCCTCCCAAAGCACCCACCACCTCTCTCCT